TAATTAAAAGCATCAATTTTTCTTAGTTTCACTTTCAGTTTATTTATTGTTAGTTTATAGAAGTTAAATTGATTTTTTGTATGTTGCTCTTGTATCTTGCATCTTGGCTGAACTTGTTTATTAATGCTAGTAGGTTTTGTTTTTTTTTTTAGTGACTTCCTTAGGACTTTCTATATATGATCATGCCACCTGAAAATTGAGTTTTACGTCTTCTTTTCCAATCTGAACACCTTTTATTTCATTTTCTTGCCTAACTGACCCGGCTGGAACTGCCCATACAATGTTGAATATAAGTGTTAAGTAGACATCCTTGTCTTGTTCCTGATATTGAAAGGGAAAGCATCCAATCTTTCACTGTTAAGTCTGTTGCTAGCTGTGGGTTTTTCACAGATGCTCCTTATCAGGTTGAGAAAATTCCCTTCTGTTCCTAGTTTGTGGTGTTTTTATCATGAAAATATATTGGATTTTGTCAAATGCTTCTCTACACCTATTGAGATAATCATGAGGCTTTTGTCTTTTATTCTATTAATAAGGTATATTATATTGAACCAATCTTGCATTCCTGGGATAAATCAATTTGATTTTGGTATACAATCCTTTTTCTACATTGCCAGGTTCAGTTTGCTAATATTTTATTGAAGATTTAAAAATCTACATTCATAAGAAATACTGGTCTAAAATTTTTCATTTACTGAGATGTCTTTGTTTAGTTTAGCTATCAGGGTAATACTGTCCTCAGAATAAGCTGTGAAGTGTTCCCTCCTCATCAATTTTTTGGAAAGAAGTTGTGAAGAATTGGTGTTAACTTTTTTAAATGTTTGTTGGAATTCACTAGTGAAGCAATCTGGATCTGGACTTTTCCTTGTCAATAGTTTTTGATTATTAATTCAATATCTTTAATTGTTATAGGTCTGTTCAGATCTTCCAGTTCTTCTCGAGTCAGTTTCAGTCATTCGTATACTTCTAGGAATTCTTCCATTTTATCTAAATTATCTAATTTGTTGACTTTTTGCTGTTTACAGTGTTCCTTTATAATTCTTCTTATTTCTGTAAAGTTGGTAATAATGTCCCTTCTTTCATTCCTGAATTTAGACTTCTCTCTCTTCCTTTAGTCAGTCTAGCTAAAGGTTTGTCAGTTTTGTTGATCTAGGCCCACCTCAAATGCACATACTAAAGTTCATCCAATTCCTGCCCTAGAGATTCAAGTTCAGATACATGGTGTTATTTTGGTATTCAGTATCTGAGAATGGTAGTTTTGTTTTCTTTCACATTTGTACCTTACAACACCCAGAAAGTATGAAAGCATGTGTGTTTTATGACCCCTGTCAAGTGAGGCCTAACATATGAAAAAGGTGATCAGAGAGGTTAATTACCCGACCAAGGTCACACAGCTAGTGGGTGTATTTTATTCAGTACGCTGGCCCATTGGCCCATTATCTCTGATTCCTATACCCTTCAAACTTCCTCTTTGTACACTTTGGATAGGATAGGTGTGGCCCAGGGGCAGAAATTATTTTATATTTATCTGTTTTCTGATGTTTGGCTTATAAGCCCCCTAATTGTAAGTTTTGTTTAAAACAAAGGGCTGTTATGCTACAATAATCAATTATGTAGTCACTGAGATACCCATGTGTCTCCAAATAGATGAGACAATAAAGAGCAATATGTCTCCATTAATGGATACATTTCAGTAAAGGGAGACACAATTATCTTTTGCTTCTCTTTTTAAAATAAATTTATTCTTTCACAGAATGGTTATATGGGATTTCGTTTTCACATTAGTCATAATTTACTCCTTGTCCTGTTCTTTCAGGAAATGTAGTTGAAATCTTAAAGACTGAGGTTTGCATCTTTGCAAGGGATTAGAATTTGGCCTTCATCAGGAAGGTGGAAAAATCATTCATAGAGGGAAGGAGCCTGCTAATTACATATTCTTTTAAAGCCACCCTTTCCGTTAAAGAGATCTTCAAAAGACAAAAAGTGGCATAATGACTTTCTGGCATTTTGCTTACCGCAGTTAAAAATCAACAGATCTCTGTCCATGATCTGTTAATGATTCAAGGACCGGGTTAGTTCATTATTCAGGAGGAAGGACAAGTGTGAAGCTGAGTGGAAAAAGCCAGGCTCTGGGGCTTGGAGGATGGAGGCAAGTTCCTGCCAACCTGAGCAAAGAGGTGGGATCAGAGGCTCCCTCCTGTGGGGGGCCCTCCTGTGGGGGGCTCAGGGTGCCTCATGGAAGCCTTGTCATAGTGGGATTCTCCACCTCCTGCAGGGTGGAGAGCTGGGGCAAGGAGCCTCAAGTTAAGAAAAAGGCAGAGGCCTTTCCCCTCAGAGTTTCTGACTCTGAAATTGAGTGACCATTGGCCTCTTCCAAGAGGTGGAGTGGTCACTGCACCCCCTCATCTTGCAATTCCTGCTCAGCCCCTCCTAACAACCGTGCAGGCTTGGAGGACATCATAAAAAGATGTCTCCATTTTTCTCTTTGAGGTCTTATTTATGTCCCTGTCACTTCTTGAAAGGCACTCAGTTACAGTTCCCATATGCACCTACACAGTCGTTGAGATCAGAGAATAATACCAGTCAAGAGGCAAAAAGCAGGGAGGGAGGCTAATGATCTCAGACAGCTCTCTATGTGAGCTTAACTTACAGTGGAAAAAAAAAAAGAGGCCCACGTTTCCACAGCACTTAACTCCTAGAGAAGTTTGTTGGGCATTTGAATTGAGACTTATGACGACATAATTGTGTCTTTAACAGATCCTTTTAGAACATATAATCTTCAAATGATAATTATTATATTAGCATTTTGCAAAAGCCCTTGGCATATGATATTATAAGCCCTGTCTCTGTGACAGTTTCTATTTGAGTAGGAAAATGTTACACAGTTTTAGATGGAGCTAAACCATGTGTGTGTGTGTGTTGTATTTCTGTATATTCCACATGCCCTTGTGAAGGCCATGTGAGTCTGGAACTCTCTGACGGCTGCCCCCCAAAAGCCCAAGCCTTGGCTTATATGGCCATGAGGGATTCCCACTGCCCAGGGATTATCCTGTGCTCTCCATAGTCCCCCATATCCTAGTAATTAGGGGGGTCATGTGACTTGTTCTGGCCAATGGGCTACGAGTGGAAGCAAACATATGAATGCACCAATTGTGTTTGTGTGTGCTTTAACATAAAATGCTTGAATTTGTTTTGCAACTTGATTAAAAACACAACTCAACAATATACCTTGGAGATCTTTCTACATGATTGCAAATAAACTTATCTTATTCTTTTAAACTACTATCATATCACAGTGAGCTATACTATAATTTCAACTGTTCCCTTACTGATGGACATATAGATGATTGCCATTATTTTGCTGTTATAAGAACACTTTTATGTATTCTTGAGGAAACCAAGGAATGGGATGGCTTGGTGGAAAGGTTAAGTACTTTTACAATTGAAAAAATGATTAAAATTTTTTTCCATTAAATTCAATTTACTGGTATTTTACCTGGAATTTTTACAATTACACTCAGCAATAAGAATGTTCTAAATCTTCTAATGTTATCCTCTTCCTCTCTCTCCTCTTCACTCCTC